CAAGTCTGAGAGTGCAATCCTGAGAGTGCAAGTCTGAGAGTGCAAGTCTGAGAGTGCAATCCTGAGAGTGCAAGTCTGAGAGTGCAAGTCTGAGAGTGCAATCCTGAGAGTGCAAGTCTGAGAGTGCAAGTCTGAGAGTGCAATCCTGAGAGTGCAAGTCTGAGAGTGCAAGTCTGAGAGTGCAATCCTGAGAGTGCAAGTCTGAGAGTGCAAGTCTGAGAGTGCAATCCTGAGAGTGCAAGTCTGAGAGTGCAAGTCTGAGAGTGCAATCCTGAGAGTGCAAGTCTGAGAGTGCAAGTCTGAGAGTGCAATCCTGAGAGTGCAAGTCTGAGAGTGCAAGTCTGAGAGTGCAATCCTGAGAGTGCAAGTCTGAGAGTGCAAGTCTGAGAGTGCAATCCTGAGAGTGCAAGTCTGAGAGTGCAAGTCTGAGAGTGCAATCCTGAGAGTGCAAGTCTGAGAGTGCAAGTCTGAGAGTGCAATCCTGAGAGTGCAAGTCTGAGAGTGCAAGTCTGAGAGTGCAATCCTGAGAGTGCAAGTCTGAGAGTGCAAGTCTGAGAGTGCAATCCTGAGAGTGCAAGTCTGAGAGTGCAAGTCTGAGAGTGCAATCCTGAGAGTGCAAGTCTGAGAGTGCAAGTCTGAGAGTGCAATCCTGAGAGTGCAAGTCTGAGAGTGCAAGTCTGAGAGTGCAATCCTGAGAGTGCAAGTCTGAGAGTGCAAGTCTGAGAGTGCAATCCTGAGAGTGCAAGTCTGAGAGTGCAAGTCTGAGAGTGCAATCCTGAGAGTGCAAGTCTGAGAGTGCAAGTCTGAGAGTGCAATCCTGAGAGTGCAAGTCTGAGAGTGCAAGTCTGAGAGTGCAATCCTGAGAGTGCAAGTCTGAGAGTGCAAGTCTGAGAGTGCAATCCTGAGAGTGCAAGTCTGAGAGTGCAAGTCTGAGAGTGCAATCCTGAGAGTGCAAGTCTGAGAGTGCAAGTCTGAGAGTGCAATCCTGAGAGTGCAAGTCTGAGAGTGCAAGTCTGAGAGTGCAATCCTGAGAGTGCAAGTCTGAGAGTGCAAGTCTGAGAGTGCAATCCTGAGAGTGCAAGTCTGAGAGTGCAAGTCTGAGAGTGCAATCCTGAGAGTGCAAGTCTGAGAGTGCAAGTCTGAGAGTGCAATCCTGAGAGTGCAAGTCTGAGAGTGCAAGTCTGAGAGTGCAATCCTGAGAGTGCAAGTCTGAGAGTGCAAGTCTGAGAGTGCAATCCTGAGAGTGCAAGTCTGAGAGTGCAAGTCTGAGAGTGCAATCCTGAGAGTGCAAGTCTGAGAGTGCAAGTCTGAGAGTGCAATCCTGAGAGTGCAAGTCTGAGAGTGCAAGTCTGAGAGTGCAATCCTGAGAGTGCAAGTCTGAGAGTGCAAGTCTGAGAGTGCAATCCTGAGAGTGCAAGTCTGAGAGTGCAAGTCTGAGAGTGCAATCCTGAGAGTGCAAGTCTGAGAGTGCAAGTCTGAGAGTGCAATCCTGAGAGTGCAAGTCTGAGAGTGCAAGTCTGAGAGTGCAATCCTGAGAGTGCAAGTCTGAGAGTGCAAGTCTGAGAGTGCAATCCTGAGAGTGCAAGTCTGAGAGTGCAAGTCTGAGAGTGCAATCCTGAGAGTGCAAGTCTGAGAGTGCAAGTCTGAGAGTGCAATCCTGAGAGTGCAAGTCTGAGAGTGCAAGTCTGAGAGTGCAATCCTGAGAGTGCAAGTCTGAGAGTGCAAGTCTGAGAGTGCAATCCTGAGCGTGCATGCCTGAGAGTGCAAGCCTGAGAGTGCAAGTCTGAGAGTGCAAGCCTGAGAGTGCAAGTCTGAGAGTGCAAGTCTGAGAGTGCAATCCTGAGAGTGCAAGCCTGAGAGTGCAAGCCTGAGAGTGCAAGTCTGAGAAAGTCTGAGAGCGCAAGCCTGAGAGCGCAAGCCTGAGAGTGCAAGTGCAAGGCTGCAGCCAGACCCTTCTCGAATCGCCAGAGACATAAACTTAGAGAAGTAGCTCCGGTTGGAATGTTCTTCCGCGGGATGTGTGCAGTTCTGTTTATTAACCGCTAGAGCGCCAAAAGTTACACAGTGCTGCTTTAAAGGCTGAAATGTGAGGTTTATCACTATATTAAAACTTTATTTAAAAAAACGACTGTTATTGAACTGCAAATCGTGTTGTTTTTTTTTGTACGAGTCATTAACATGTTACCATAGACATTGCCCTACCCCACTCTTACAGTATTCATTTTATTTGTGCAGGTCTTCAAAAGCCTTACATACTGTATGTTGGCTATTTATATTAGGCGATGTTATGTGCTATCCAGGTGGTTTTTAATAGCACAATAACAGCTGATTTAAAGTGGAGAACTCAAGTATGTGGTAAATTAAAGCAATAAGCCCCGTGAAGCCGTGGTTTACAGTGAATTTATAACAGCTAAGAGGGTTTAGCTCCGCTTCGCGTCGTACCTAACAACGCCCCTTAGCTGTTATAAATTCACTGTAAACCACGGCTTCACGGGGCTTATTGCTTTAATTTACCACAGTTGTAAAGTGCTGGAAAAGCTTAAAAATGCACCTTGAAAGTGCTTGACTTTTACTTTGGAAAAGGTGAAAGAACCCCGTTTTATGATGATTTTACTTCTTTGTATGTAAAGCACTTTGAATTAGCATTGTGTATGAAATATGCTATATAAATAAACTTGCCTTGCCTTAAAACAGAGTTATGTTGGCAGTTATCTTGGCACTAAAATTAGTGCCAAGATAACTGCCAACATAACTCTGTTATTGAACAAATTATATTTCAAGCTTTGGAGAACTTATTTTAGAAGATGGATCCAGAAAGACGAATGTTTTTATTAACTGATGTTAACAAAGATGAATAAATAAATGAATACGGGAATGCTTAAAATATAGTAAACATAAATAAAAAATGTATATCAGTCTTAAATCAGGGTCTGAAATTAACACTCAGCAACATAATTCTGTTTTTAGATGGATTCAAGATGAATTGTACACTTCCAAAATTTAGGGTCTGTAAGATTTTAAAAATGTTTTTTTTAAAGTCAGTAATAATCAATTTAAAATAAATGTCTTCTATGTGAATGTTTTAATATGTAAATAAATATACATTCTACATAAATACTGTAACAAATGTGTTTCTCATTGTTAATGTTAACGTATAACTATGATGGGACCTTAATGTAAAGTGCTACCCAAATTGCTAATAAGTTGAATTTTATAAAATGTCCGTATTTATTGTTTGTTAAATGTTGAATCTGCCATGTAATATCTGAAATATATTTAAATACAACCCAAGGTTATTATAGTTAACTAAAACTAAAATTAAAACCATTAAAACCATTTTGATTACCTGAAATAAAATAAATGTTTTCATTTCATCTAGCCGCCAAGACAGCTTTTCTCATTTTCATTTAGTTTCACTTGATGTACTAAAATAACTAATATAAACACACACTCTCACACACACACTCACACACACACTCACTCACACACACACACTC